ACATAATGGATCCAGGGACTGTACCTCCTCATTACAGACATAATGGGTCCAGGGACTGTACCTCAACATTACAGACACACATAATGGGTCCAGGGACTGTACCTCAACACTACAGACACACATAATGGGTCCAGGGACTGTACCTCAACACTACAGACACAGACTTTTTTAAGTGAGCTGATTTTGCGAGAATGGTAACGTAACCTAAAATAACTTAACCTTGCTTCGACAGCGATAGATAGGGGATCGGTGCGTCTTAACAATGCTTCTCTTTACATTCGATGCGTCCTTATTTACATTCGTTGAGTCTTGTTATGTTCCATGCGTCCTCATTTACATTCAATGCGTCTTTGTTACGGTGTCCCGTGGCTCGATCGTTAGCGCACTCACCTAATACACTGAGGTCCGGGGTTCGAATCTCCTCCGGTACGGCTGAACAACATTAGGGACGTGTTTCCATAAGACACCTACTGCCCCTGTCCCTGTTCCAGTTTAAAATGGGTACCTGGGCGTTAGTTGACTGGTGTGGGTCGCATCCTGGGACAAAACTGACCTAATTTGCGAGAAATGCTCAACATAACAAGGTACTTTCTATATATATATATATATATATATATATATATAATATATTATATATATATATATATATATATATATATATATATATATATATATAGTAGTATGTAACTGATGTCAGCTATGGTCTGTATACCATGTACATGTACTGGTAGTAAATATTATATTATTATTATTATTATTATTATTATTATTATTATTATTATATGCGTCTTTATTTACATTCCATGCTCATTTGTTTACATTCCAAGCGTCTTTGTTTACATTCCAAGCATCTTTGTTTACATTCCAAGCATCTTTGTTTACATTCCAAGCGTCTTTGTTTACATTCCAAGCATCTTTGTTTACATTCCAAGCGTCTTTGTTTACATTCCAAGCGTCTTTGTTTACATTCCAAGCATCTTTGTTTAGATTCCATGCTCATTTGTTGACATTCCAAGCGTCTTTGTTACATTCCAAGCGTCTTTCTTTACATTCCATGCATCTTTGTTTACATTCCAAGCGTCTTTGTTTACATTCCAAACATCTTTGTTTACATTCCATGCTCATTTGTTTATATTCCAAGCGTCTTTGTTTACATTCCAAGCGTCTTTGTTTACATTCCAAGCATCTTTGTTTACATTCCATGCATCTTTGTTTACATTCCAAGCGTCTTTGTTTACATTCCAAGCATCTTTGTTTACATTCCAAGCATTTTTGTTTACATTCCATGCATCTTTGTTTACATTTCAAGCGTCTTTGCTTACATTCCAAGCGTCTTTGTTTACATTCCAAGCATCTTTGTTTACATTCCAAGCATCTTTGTTTACATTCCAAGCTTCTTTGTTTACATTCCAAGCTTCTTTGTTCACATTCCAAGCATCTTTGTATACATTCCAAGCATCTTTGTTTACATTCCATGCATCTTTGTTTACATTCCAAGCATCTTTATTTACATTCCAAGCATCTTTGTTTACATTCCATGCGTCTTTGTTTACATTCCAAGCATCTTTGTTTACATTCCAAGCGTCTTTGTTTACATTCCAAGCATCTTTGTTTACATTCCAAGTATCTTTGTTTACATTCCAAGCATCTTTGTTTTCATTCCAAGCGCCTTTGTTTACATTCCATGTGCCTTTGTTTACATTCCAAGCATCTTTGTTTACATTCCAAGCATCTTTGTTTACATTCCAAGCATCTTTGTTTACATTCCATGTGCCTTTGTTTACATTCCAAGCGTCTTTGTTTACATTCCAAGCGTCTTTGTTTACATTTCATGTGCCTTTGTTTACATCCCAAGCATCTTTGTTTACAGTCCCTTGACCCATTATGTAGTTCTGTAATGTTGATGCCCGGTAGCCTGGTGGTTAATTAAAGCTCTCGCTTCACACACGGAGAGCCCCGGTTTGATTCCCGGCGGGGTGGAAACATTTCGACACGTTTCCTTACACCTGTTGCCCTGTTCACCTAGCAGGAAATAGGTACCTGGGTGCTAGTCGGCTGGTGTGGATCGCATCCTGGGGGACAAGATTAAGGACCACAATGGAAATAAGTTAGACAGTCCTCGATGACGCGCTGACTTTCTTGGGTTATCTTGGGTGGCTAACCTTCCGGGGTTAAAAATCCAAACGAAATCTTATCTCTTATCTTATGTACAGTCTCTAGACTCATTATGTGATTCTGTAATGTTGAGGTACAGTTCCTGGACTTATTATGTGGCTCTGTAATGTTGAGGTAGAGTCCCTGGACCTATTATATGGTCTGTAATGTTGAGGTACAGTCCCTGGACCCATTGCGTGCCTTTGTAATGTTGAGGTACAGTCCCTGAACTTATTATGTGGCTCTGTAATGTTGAGATACAGTCCCTGGACCCATTATGTGGCTCTGTAATCTTTTGACTACCACCCACATCACAGGTATGTGGTGACTACCTGGAATTTACCTGGAGAGAGTTCCGGGTGTCAACGCCCCCGCAGCCCCGTCTGTGACCAGGCCTCATGGTAGATCAGGGCCTGATCAGCCAGACTATTACTGCTGGCTGCACGCAATCCAACGTACGAGCCACAGCCCGGCTGGTCAGGTACCGACTTTAGGTGCCTAAATAAGATATTAAACTGAATTGAGCTCCTGCGACACAGCTAACAAATGTACATTAATGTAAATTTAACCTCTAAGAATGTAGATCATAACTAAGGTTAATTAACTGGATTAGATATGATTAATTATTTAAGTCTGGAGAGATTGTGGATGTAGAGCCTTGATTAGTCTTCCCAGGAATAATCTAAATCTTATGTAATGTAAATTTATTCGTGAATGATGTAAGTGAGATTTTGTTGGGATTTTTAACCTCGGTGGGTTATCCATCAGGATAACACAAGAAAGTCAATGTCATTTATTCCTATTGTGGTCCTTAATTTTTGTCCCCCAGGATGCCACTCACACCAGTCCTCTAACACCCAGGTACCTGCTTGCTTGCTAGGTGATTGTAGGTGTCCCGTAGCTCGATTGGTGGATCGATCCCCCGTACGGGTGGAAACATCAGGATGCGTTTCCGTAAGACACCTGCTGTCCATGTTCACCTAGCAGTAACATAGGTACCGGTAACATAGGCCTGGTGGCCTGGTGGCTAAAGCTCCCGCTTCACACACGGAGGGCCCGGGTTCGATTCCCGGCGGGTGGAAACATTTCGACACGTTTCCTTACACCTGTTGTCCTGTTCACCTAGCAGCAAATAGGTACCTGGGTGTTAGTCGACTGGTGTGGGTCGCATCCTGGGGGACAAGCTTAAGGACCCCAATGGAAATAAGTTAGACAGTCCTTGATGACGCACTGACTTTCTTGGGTTATCCTGGGTGGCTAACCCTCAGGGGTTAAAAATCCGAACGAAATCTTATCTTATCTGACTGGTGTGGGTCGCATCCTGGGACAAAATTGACCTAATTTGCAGGGAATTCTCAGCATAACAAGGGGCTTTCTATATAGTAGTATGTCATTGGTGTGAGCTATGGTCTGTATAAGTTGTATCAGGTACTTGTTGAAATAAAGATCATTATTATTAATAGGTATAAGGAAACACGCCCTACCAGGTTAAATTTGGATAGGTTATGAATATAACCTTTATTAATCTAAATTCAACACTGAATAATATAAATCTATTTAGAATAATGTAGTCTCTAAAAAATTGACGAGAATCAAGCTTACCGAACTAAAATGAAGCTCAAATATAATGATTCTGGAGATGTTGTGCATATAAGAACATTAAAAAAAGGAAGGAGCACTGCATCAGGCCTACTGGCCCATGCCAGGCAGGTTCAACTCACACCCACTCATATATTTATCTAACCTATTTAAAACTATACAATAGTCTAAATTTATCAATGTATAAAGTAACTCTAACGTAGAATAATATAAATTTAGCTTCTAAGGATTTCAATTTGATGGAACAAAATCAAGGACCCTAATGGGTCATCCTGGGTATTACATATATGAGCTTATTAGGCACAGTGCACAAATGCAGTTCACACATTAATACTCATAGTAATTTACATATGTTACACTTAGATATTTGTCTAATTTACCTGTTCTAAATAAACTTCTAAGAAGGACATAATGTAAATTTCAAGGACTTAATGTAATTTCAAGACGTTAATGAAATTCAAAGAGTCAATGTAAACTTCAAGGACGTCAATGTAAATTTACAAGGACCCCAAAGTAATTTTCAAGGACCCAATGTAAAATTCAGACCCAATGTAAATTTCAAGGCAATGTAATTCAAGGACCTCATGTAAATTTCAAGGACCTTCAAGTAAATTTCAAGGACGTCAATGTAAATTTCAAGGACCCCAATGTAAATTTCAAGGACCCCAATGTAAATTTCAAGGACCCCAATGTAAATTTCAAGGACCTCAATGTAAATTTCAAGGACCCCAATGTAAATTTCAAAGACCCCAATGTAAATTTCAAGGACCCCAATGTAAATTTCAAGGACCCCAATGTAAATAACTCACTTTTAACCTTTTTTGGGGTTATCCTGAAGGGTAATTTACACAGACACTCAACACACACACACACCCACCAACACACACACACACACACACACACACACACATTCAAGCACCCACACAACACAATCACACACACACACACAACCATTAACAATCACAGACCACCACACGAACACACACACCACTTAACACACACACACACACACACACCACACACACACACATCACACACACATACACACACACACCACACAACACACACACACCACACAACCACCACATACACAACACATCACACACACCAAAAACACACACACACACACACACACACCAACACACACACACACACACACACACACACATATATACACATCTATATATATACATATATATACTTGATTTGATTTACAAGAGGGGGGGGGGGTGGAGGGACGGGGGTGGTGTGCGGGCGCGCGGGCGCGGCGGCGTTGAGGACCTACGGTGGATGTGAAGGAAGATCCGCTGTTGCTCTGCTGCTGCACTTAACACCACACTTGTCCCATTTTAAGTGTGTCTGACACTTATTTCGGCCTCGCTACACTTGCAGCCATGGTGAGACACTTGTGTAGTTATCCCTGGAGGTCAGAACAGGCGCCGGGAGGGTGATATAAGGGGAGATATAGACGATTTTTTGGAGGTGGTGTCTCTGGGTTAGGGGGGGGGAGGGAGGTGTCCTAACCTGAGCAATGCTGTCTTGTTTATGTAGGCCCGTGCGGGTTTACCGCTTGTTTACCCTCGTGGTTGCGGTGGTGGCCGCAATCACGAGGGTAATTAGTGGTTATACACGGAACTACAGGTTCGGTAAATGGTTATTAGCGGAGTAAATTGACCCGTGTGGGTTTATCTCTCTTAGGATTTCTTGTATGCCGGTATGGGGGGTTCTTGATCCAAGGGGTTGGATGTGTGTTAGTCTTCCCTGGGGAGGGTCAGAATTGGTTATTTTACCACTAACAAGGTGTGGGAACCCATAGGGGTCTAGCGCTTCGTAATATAAAGGTTATATAAAGGTTCTCGACCTCCCATCTATATAGTCAGGCATTTTTATTATTTTATTATTTTTGTGTATACTGAATTTTGTGTATACTGTATTTTGTGTATATTGAATTTTGTGTATACTATGTTATTTTTGTATATACTGGTGCTATATTTTTGTATATACTGGTGCTATATTTTTGTATATACTGGTGCTATACTTTTGTATATACTGGTGCTATATTTTTGTATATACTGGTGCTATACTTTTTGTATATACTGGTGCTATATTTTTGTATATACTGGTGCTATACTTTTGTATATACTGGTGCTATATTTTTTGTATATACTGGTGCTATACTTTTGTATATACTGGTGCTATATTTTTTGTATATACTGGTGCTATATTTTTGTATATACTGGTGCTATATTTTTGTATATACTGGTGCTATATTTTTTGTATATACTGGTGCTATATTTTTGTATATACTGGTGCTATATTTTTGTATATACTGGTGCTATATTTTTGTATATACTGGTGCTATATTTTTTGTATATACTGGTGCTATATTTTTTGTATATACTGGTGCTATATTTTTTGTATATACTGGTGCTATATTTTTTGTATATACTGGTGCTATATTTTTGTATATACTGGTGCTATATTTTTGTATATACTGGTGCTATATTTTTTGTATATACTGGTGCTATATTTTTTGTATATACTGGTGCTATATTTTTGTATATACTGGTGCTATATTTTTTGTATATACTGGTGCTATATTTTTGTATATACTGGTGCTATATTTTTTGTATATACTGGTGCTATATTTTTGTATATACTGGTGCTATATTTTTTGTATATACTGGTGCTATATTTTTGTATATACTGGTGCTATATTTTTGTATATACTGGTGCTATATTTTTTGTATATACTGGTGCTATATTTTTTGTATATACTGGTGCTATATTTTTGTATATACTGGTGCTATATTTTTGTATATACTGGTGCTATATTTTTGTATATACTGGTGCTATATTTTTGTATATACTGGTGCTATATTTTTTGTATATACTGGTGCTATATTTTTTGTATATACTGGTGCTATATTTTTTGTATATACTGGTGCTATATTTTTTGTATATACTGGTGCTATATTTTTGTATATACTGGTGCTATATTTTTGTATATACTGGTGCTATATTTTTGTATATACTGGTGCTATATTTTTTGTATATACTGGTGCTATATTTTTTGTATATACTGGTGCTATATTTTTTTGTATTTATACTGGTGCTATATTTTTGTATATACTGGTGCTATATTTTTTGTATATACTGGTGCTATATTTTTTGTATATACTGGTGCTATATTTTTGTATATACTGGTGCTATATTTTTTGTATATACTGGTGCTATATTTTTTGTATATACTGGTGCTATATTTTTTGTATATACATGTACTGTGTTGTTCATTCTGTATTTTGTCTTTTATTTATTCTGTATTTTTGTGTATACTAAATTTTTTTTCTGTATGATTTTACGTTTTTACTCTTGTGCATGATACTAAATGTTGAATAAGCTTAGGGTATGTGCAGTTACTGCCATACAAAAGTTTATGTATAACGGATGTAACATCTGGGTATTCGCTGATGCAGACATTCCACCAATCACGGGCTTCTTCTGTCCAATTTAGAGAATAAATACTGGAAACGATGTAGAGGAGGAGAGGTAATCTGAGGGGATCGGTCCCTTGAATGGAAAAAGCAAATCAGTGAACTTTAATTTCTTTGAATGTAGTTTGCGTGTATTAAAATAACGACAAAAAGCCACTAGAAATGGAAATAAGTCACTTTGACTTTTTTGGGGCCTTATCCTAGGTGATTTACACTGTACGGTAATTGTACTTATGTGTACCTGTGTCTAAATATACTTACTTAGTTGAGTACTTAGCTGTTTTAAATTTTTAAAGTTTAAATAATAAGATATTTCAAGGACCACAGTGGAAATAAGTAACTTTGACTCTTTTTGGGTAATCCTAGGTAACCTACACATATGCTGCTATGTATGATAGTTTATGTAATATATATGTGTACCTGTATAGTGGCTGATTACCTCAGATTACAACTCTACCTCAAATTACAACTCTACTTCTTCTGTTGTCTCCAGTATTCATTATATTAGATTGGTATGCAGAACACCTTCATCAAAGATACCTATTAAATGATGTATACCTGGCGGGAGTTCTGGGGATCAATGTCGCCATTACCCAGTCCATGACTATATATATTTGCATTGCTGCTGATGTGGAAATAAATCACATTGTTTGAGTTTCGTGTAAATTTGAAACTTAGTGGTTTTATATAATAAATTATGTACAATTTAACCTAGGATAACTTAGGTTAAAGCTGCATAATCTAATATATACATGTGCTTAAAATGTGTACCATCAAGATCATTGTAAAAATTTTGGATATTATGTGTACAGTGTCAGGCAAATTTGTTGACTTCAAATCATCAGCATTAGTGAATTATCCAGGTAGCAGGTTTGTTATCTTGTTAAAATATAACCGTGAGTTACCCAACAACATAATTTAGGTTTAGACTATATTAGGTTAGTCTGTCCTGATAGTCTTACTAAATTTATAACTGGAGAACTCTCCAGGAAAATACGTATTAAAGACTTCTGACTTACCAACAACTCTGTAATGCCAGTGAGATCACTTGCATTCATGTACAGTATAAAATAAAAACTTCCATGGCTTTGAAATAGGACAGAAATTTTGATGGAGTGATTACTTTCACTGGTGAAAACTTCTTTCATGTGTATAAGCCTCAAAATACTGAAGCAAAGGTGGTTTGGGCATATATAGGCATTTGATGCTTTAGGGTAAATGCACCATGTGTTAGGTTTCATTAGGTTAAGGTGTTGGTGTTTACTCTGTACTACAAAACTAGTGTCTTGCATTTCTTGTCATGAAAATCTCAACTAATTTTTTTTGCTTAGTGACATTTCAACAGTAGTGATTAGAGTACATAAGAACAGGACATACAGTCTCTCCTCACTTAGTGACGTACTCGTTTACCAATGACTCGGACTTACGATGGGCTCTCTGACCAGTGTTCATGCCTAAATAATGTACATGTATATTAGAGTTTATTTCCTCAATTCTGTTTATTACAATATACATACAGTACACTACTGTATAAACATTTAAAAATATACGAGAAATGTTATAAATGGTGCAAAGGTGACATTAAAACAATGACAAAGATGGTTGACACAAACCAATTACCATTATACTATGCTCCTCACTTAAAGACGAATTCGTTTACCGATGTGGTCTTAGGAAAGGAACTCTGTCGCTAAGTGAGGAGAGGCTGTATATATATATATATATTTATTATTTTATTTATTATCACACTGGCTGATTCCCACCAAGGCAGGGTGGCCTGAAAAAGAAAAACTTTCACCATCATTCACTCCATCACTGTCTTGCCAGAAGGGTGCTTTACACTACAGTTTTTAAACTGCAACATTAACACCCCTCCTTCAGAGTGCAGGCACTGTACTTCCCATCTCCAGGACTCAAGTCCAGCCTGCCGGTTTCCCTGAACCCCTTCATAAATGTTATTTTGCTTTGCTCACACTCCAACAGCACGTCAAGTATTAAAAACCATTTGTCTCCATTCACTCCTATCAAACACGCTCACGTATGCCTGCTGGAAGTCCAAGCCCCTCGCACACAAAACCTCCTTTACCCCCTCCCTCCAACCTTTCCTAGGCCGACCCCTACCCCGCCTTCCTTCCACTACAGACTGATACACTCTTATATTCAGGTATATAAGTGAACATGCAGACTTTATTATGTTAAATAAGAATTTTTTTTATAGAATGTCTTTATATTTCTAAATTGGTTATATTACACACATTATAGGCACACACTGGTAAATAATGAAGGTTTATTCTTATTATTAGGGGAGAGCACTAAACTCATTGAGATTATACAGTGCCTGTGGGGGAGAGGTGGAAGCATTCAGGATTAATTTAGGGAATTAGAGCACAAGTCCAATTCTCTAGATCGAGAGCTCCTCACAAGCATTAAGGAACCTCTCTTGAGGGGTAATGAATATTTAACCTAGGATAACCCAACAAGTCAAATAAAATAATGTGTTTTGTAGTAGAAATATCGACCCATGTAAGGCAGGTACGTTTGCTTCAGTGACTGATCACTAGTTTGTCACTCGTCCTCTGGCCAAGCAAATATTTTCAAAGTCAAATTTATTTCCACATGATACAGGAAAGGGTGACACTTGAACGTATGCAGAAAGCCCATGATTATTCAGAGCATTTCGGACCTATATTGTTTCTGTATCTAAATGTTTCCTATCTGAATTTATTGTTAGGAGTTTTACATAATTTTGATATTTTGTATTCCATAATTTGTGTACCGTACTTACTTTGGTTACAGTACATACTTAATATTACCCATCATTGTATACTTTATCGGAAAATTATTGAACTTTAATGCCCTTGTTTCTGCCTTCATAAGTATTTTAAGTAATTTCGATGAGTTGA